CTAGCAGGCGGAGAAGAACCATTCTCTATCAGCTTGTTTGTTACGTAATTCATGCTATTGTCAATGGGTACGGGCCCAACAGATGACGAAGTTATGTCAGGACAGCCTTTGTTTATTGCTGTCTTTTCAGCTTAAACTGATTACAAGAGCACTCCAGCTTATCTAAGTATTGTATTAGATGCCCCAATAATTTTCAGGTGACGATGTAAAATGTACAGAGAAGCAATTACTTTAATATTCAGGTTTCTTATTCAGCTTATTGTTCGGAACTGGTGAATCTAAGGGATTTTAAATCAGTTAAGAAGTACTCCTTACCTCAGTGACTGCACTAGTCAAACGATTACTGAAGTTGTAATCGGTGCATTTTTCACAGCACGTTCCACTTTTTAGAACGGTACAAGTGTTGTTTCCCTGTGCGTTCGAAAAAGCAACGCAGGAATACTTTGGAGTGGCACCGTAAAACACTTGGACCAGTTGCTGTAGTCCGATGGGAAGAGACATTACACACATGAATGCATAAAGAAGAAAGGTATATCGACCGAAGCCGCCAACCATGGCTAAAAGGTCGTCGAATTCATAAGATTTTTTCGGCTTAGAACTCTGCATTTCGCCCCCTTTTTCGCCCGACATGATGACTTCCTTGGTTTTTCACCTGAAGACAACGAAGACTACGCAGATCTAGCGCTGATGGCTGGAACGTCCTTTTTTTAATGCAAATATTGCCTTGACCTCGAAAGCGATATGCAGATAATCAGCAAAGTTATTTATATACCATATAGACTGTCAACAGCCGCCCCCTCCCCTAGATCAGGAAGAGGGATATCTGTGTGTCGCCGCTGTCAATCATGCTCCCTCTCCCCGTTTTTTAGGGGAGGGGGGCAGCTGTGCACAGGCGATATAGCCTGGTTTTGGTGATTGGATAATGCAACGAAGCACCGGACAGTCGAAAGACGATTTTACAGATTTGAGGATCGGGTAGATATTCCATAACTGGCTTGAATTCTATTAATAAAAACAATTAAACAATATACCATTAAGTATAATAAATCTAATTGCAGACCGCTTTATTTACATGGCTTTTCGCCAGTCTGGCTAGTTTAAACATCAGCTTGAACTGATTCCCGGATGGGTACTCCCCATAATAGGGAGCTTTAGCATCGACGACGGCGACGGAAGCGAAAGCGTCACTTTATGAATTCACGTTTTTCAAACTTTGTCGCGTTTATTCCAATTCACTGAAAATGTGAAATGTACCGGACTCAGGTTTAAAAAGAGTCGCTTGTTTACGGTTCTCCATAAAACGAGAAATTAGGCATTTTCAAGGCATTTTCACGTCGTAGTCGAGTAGTGACGAAAAAGAAATATACAAAAAAGTGTGATGCACCATCTTTGATTTTATCTCTGAGGAAGATTGGGGAGAGTAGGAAACGCAACCCATAGGATAGGGGCGTTCTTCTCTCTTTCCCCGAACGAATTTTCACTAAGTCTTTTCTGTTGGTTAAAATGATGAGCACACGCTATACACTTAGGATACCTAGAGATGCCTGGTGGACGTGTATCGCATCGCGGTGAAACTCTCACGCAATTCCAGAAACAAAATTAAATGATACAGGACCTTGAATAATTCACTGAAATTACGTTCTTTTCTTTTAGCTCTAAGGCAGCAGACAAAGCGCAGTCGCCATCTGCTGAAACGCAGCAGAAAATTTAATACCTTGAGGAAGAGCCAATCATTTTTCTCTTTTTTGGGGTTATAAACATGATTGTCAGGTATACATTTGGTAGAGTCAGTCGTAGCAAAGTTTGACTGTAGATTAGATGGCAGGTAAGTCAGGGTAGAAATAGAGAGAAGTTTGACGTCACGTTACCATGGTAGCAAATTATGGGAGCTCAATCAACGAGATTAGCAAAAAAGCAATAGCTTTAGACTAGGCCTACTCTGGGACCTAAAGTCACCTAAAGTCGCCCAAAGTCGCCTTAAGTCGCCTAAAATCGCCTTAAGTCGCCTAAAATTGCCTTAAGTCGCCTAAAGTCGCCTTTAGTTTCCTTAAGTCACTAAATCATTCAAATCTTAACGAGGTTCAAATTGTCTTGTAGTTATTACTTTTTATGTTTTCTATTTCCAGAATGCATGATTTCTCATAAAGTGTGTAATAACCCATGTTCAATAATTTTAGCCACAGACCCACCCCACCCCCCACAAAAAACTCCCACGGTGACTTAAGACCCATTAATTTCCTCTCCAGCCCTCTAATTTATACATTTAATTACCTTACACAATTTACTACACTTAATAATTAGTCGTAAGCAATACAAGAATAATCATTCCTGTATTGTTTATGCAAAAATGACAACATATAGTACACAACTTTATCCAGTCACTTGTACAGGTATTTTATTAATTTCATCCGGGAGGTTTGTCTCATATTTCTGAGTAAAAATATTGTTTAAAAAGGCATTCAAAGGTTCAAGTTTTAGCTAAATTACATTAAACAGTGTG